CTACATTTTGAAGTACCTTCAAATAAACTTCTGGCCAAAGGAAGCACTGCTTTTGGGTTACCACTTACAAACTGTAATCACTAGGAACTCCAGCTTGGCCAGGTATTTACAAATAAGCTACCCTCTCTGCTGAGCAATCAGCAGAGCTTCAGGGCCATTCATGATCTTGAAAGGAGAAGCAATCTCATAGCCCAATAAAAGGAGGGACTCCTGGATTCTTGTTCCAATTTCTATCCCTTCTGTTACTTTGGTCAATTCATTTAAACTCAGTTGGAGGTGAAATAAAACAAAGTCCTCACCAGTTTGTAACAAGTATCATCATGACCACTTGTCGCGAAGCATGTGGACACACACACAAAAAAAGCTTACCACAGTGTAACAACTAACTGCTTTGGCAGCTAGTCGTTTGTTAGTTCTGCCTCTGATCAGACTGCAACACTTCTCAGCTGCATAAACAGAATCTGCTTGCCATTCCTGTACAGCAGGTTGGCTATTCCTGCCTCCTAGCACTGTGTGTAGTTGGACATCAGAGTAAACTCGTGGTGCAAGTTATTGGTGGGTCTGCATGCCTCTCCCCTTAGGGCATTTATTGCATTTTGGAAATATTAATCTTTTACATGAGTTTGAGAACAAAATAGCAGTTGAACGAAAATGACATTGATTTATTTTCCAGATGCCTTTGCAAGATCAGTGAGGAAGTTAAAAAAATTCTGTTTCAAAAGTGGAGCAGCTGGGTTAAGATATCAGACTGCATAGATCAGTTATTCATACCGTGAACACCACACTCAGGAACTACCACAGCTTTTATTGACTACTGTGACATTATACAATTGACCTCTTTACTTCTATTATCATACATTCTTTCTTCTGCTACAATATATGGATTACCTTCACTTCAGATCATGCACTATAGAGCCACACCTGGGACACAGAATATGCTGCCAGAAATAGTCTAATACCCCCAGCCCTGTTCCTCGCCTTTTGTTCTAAATATTGCATGGTGTTGGATCATTAATAAAGCTTTCACAATAAAAGATCAATTAAACTTCCAGTGAAGTAACTGGAAATATTCTACATTAGGAAAAGGATTTAAAAAGTATTGCAAAACCCCCCCAAATTCTCTAAGGGCAAGGATTTTGTTCCATTGCACACCTATATGCACAAAGGCTGCACTGTCAGCACTCTAAATAAATTGCATGCAAATGTCTTTAAAAGAACATTTGCCAAATGGAAGACTAAAATGTACGTAGATCCTGCTTGCCAACGCAACCTGGTTTCATGTATAAACCCAAGAGCTGAATGGTGACAGCATATGCTCATAAAAAGTAATCTTTCCTGAGGATCTTTGCCTCTTCGCTCCGCATCTAGCAAACATAACAGTCTCTGTGTATGTGATACATATCAGACATCATCTTTCTGTACACTGCTTTTGTACAGCTTCTCCCGGTTCAGGTACTCTCACTTCGCAGCTTCTGATCTGCTGTTCGTGTGAGCTCTGCCCCAGACTCCCTGCTTTTTCCAGTTCTGTTCTTCGCATTTAGATCAGGCAGCCTTCCCTATGACACTGTGTACAACCCAACAATAGCTACAGAAGAGCCAGCCTACCTACCACTCCCACAGCCTATGCTTAACATGGCTGCAAATTTAAAGCTGCTTCTGCAAAAGCAGTCCTGTTCAGTCTGTGCTGGAGCTTGCCCAACCTTGAAGGTACCCTCTGAGATTTTAACTGAAACTCTTATGAACATTCATCATGAAATATTCTTTTAAAAAGTCTGGATCCATCAAGCTTGGACAGATTTTAACAAGAACATCCGGACACAGTGTTTGACAGGGATTATCTTTAATGCTAAGCTTGGGAAAATACTAGAGCAGCTAAAAGAAAATGGTTATTGGGATTTATTTATTTATTTTTAAGTGGGCAAAATAGTTTCTCCTCACCTCAAATGGCTTAGTTTTTCAAATAAAGTTGATCTGAGCAAGGCAGCATGCACAAAACAAAACCAGTCAGCTTGAGCCATTTGACAAAAATATAAGGAAATGAAGACAGAATCTTATCTAATAAATGGAGGTATTAAGAAAATTTTGTATCAGCTAGTACTAACATTATTGCATTTGGCTTTTTCCATTGCTTCTTTTCAACAGAATATCCAATTTATCAATTCAAATCCCTTTTCACAGACAAATAAATTGCTTGTATTTGTAATCATGAAAGTAACAAAATTTCTGGAACACAAGAACGGAGAAGTCAAAGATGTTAACAGTCTCAATAACGTTTCCCCTCTCCCCTTGATTATTAGTACTGTGAAAAAAATAATTTAGCATTTCATCTTGAAGTTGCGTATTTTGAACATCGAAAGCTTACCTATTTTAAGCTAGTACAAGCAAGCTCTAGAACAGTGCATTTATGCACAAGCGCACTAGCTATTCACCAAAGTAGCTTCAGTGTTTAGAAGTCTCAGAACTTAATTTAACTTGTGTATCAGTTACAGTACTTTGCCAGGAAAAGGAATACAAGTATAATGTAATGAACTAAACCTGGAAACAAGTATCTAAACTTCTTTCAAGACAATCGCTGTATTTCTAAATTGCAAAACAAGAGATTTAAAAAAAAAAAAATTGGTTCTTCCATTTCATCTTGAAGAATACAAATGCTTATTGAGTGACAGTACACTGCAGCTATCCGAAAAAGCATGCTAAACTTACAGCTGAAGACATTAATCTTTTTTCTCTAAGAAAAGCAGGCTAACGCACTAGCTAGGCAACATCAAAAGTAGCAGAGTTCAGAATATCTCATGTAAGCAGACTGGTATTTTTGAATTCAGATACTGAGTCCTCACTCATTTTTGTCAAACAGCTTTGTTTTAAAGACTATGTTGTAGCAACTACCTTAAACAACACACACAGCCACTGTGGGCAGCGATCTTACCTGCTTGTCATTAACAGAATACTTTTCTATTTCCTTCTTTGTCTGCAACAGCTTGTTCTGAAATGTATACAAGAACAGCTAAAGCATTGCAGTTCTGAGAGCAAAATAGTTCAGTATTTCAATAAGGCTTAAAAACATTCCATAACCCCCCCAAAAGTTATCCTAAACTTGTTACAACACTTGTTATTTGTCATTTTACAGATTTATGAATATATGATGAAAACATGAACTCCATCAAGCTAACAAAACTTGCTTATCTGTTTTTCACTTCATCTTCTAAAGTCAGTAACAACTTCTATAATGGATTTAATCCTTTTGTTTCATACAACAACCCTGAGCACCTAAGACTTATTAATTTTTCTCCTGTATTTTGGTTCTATTTTGTATTTATGTAATAGTACATAAACTATTCTGAAGAATAAACACTGTCATGGAATTATCCTAAAAATTAAATTAAAATTTGGTAAATTGAAATTGTCCTGCTCATTTCAAGAAATATTGTGTTAATTCTGGCTGCTTTCAAGGTTATGCAAAATAAGTTCTCAAATGTAAGTAAATTATCAAATACAGCTGGGACTGAGGCCCCACAAAAAGTTAAGTGCTTTTATTTCATGAATAATTACTTTTTTCTCTACAAATAAAATAACAACCCATTATAAAAACAGTAATTTCAACTAAATTCTGAATACCTCCTCATTAAAAAAAAAAACAAAGCTACCATTTTTCCTCCAAAGCTGTCTTGATGAACAGTTTTGCAGTAGTAAAAAGTATGATCAAATGCTGATTAGACACCAAAAT